ACCTGAGCTCAAATCTAGACACTTGACACTTACTAGCTGTGTAATACTGGGCAAGTCACTTAACCTTGATTGCCTCATGCCCCCCCTCAAAGAATAAATAAATAACATAATTCCTCATCATTCAGAGACTTATGCAACCAAATACCATTTTTTTTTTGCCCACAAATTCTTCAAAGACATCCCATTTTATTGCTTTCTTGTTTTCTAGGACATCTCTCTTCTTAGGATAAGTTTGTTAGTAGAAACACATTGAAGTGTTTCTATAAATACTTATCACTATATCACTTTAAATGTGTATATTCTTATAAACATTTTCAACATGTATCTTCAAAGATGTAGGGAATCACCAGTAATGGCATATAGACATTAATGCTAGAGGGGAGATGAAGCCAAGAGAAGCCATAGACATAATTAAAAAAGGAACTTGATCTTTGTTTTTGTTTAAAATTTTTTAAAGTGTCAGGAAAGTAGCTTCTCTCCCTTCCATTAAATCCCTCCTCTGATGCTTGAGGGTGCTCCTGAGTTCTTCAGCTCAAAACTAACATGTTACAGGTCCTACCAAGCTAGGAAAGTTTTGAGTTTGGGCCCAAGAGACAGATTGTGGGCTTGTCATCTGCAGATTAGCCTAGCTGAGGGTGAATAGGTTCTTCATTGCAAGATGATTCTTTTTCCACCTATGGCAATTCACAAAGACCATTTATTTACAAAGGCAGAGAGGAGTGGTAGTCTATATCAGAAGGGAGGGGGCATTCTTACTAATGAAAACACAAATAACTGGAGCATTAATGTAGCATAGAAATGACAGCTGATTCATGTAGTCACATCAGTTATTTTATGTTCTAAGTGTAAGACACTATAGGCCAATGGTTTCAGGGCAGGAGTGAATATACAGATGAACACTTCAATGAACACTGACACAAAAATTGTCATGGGGACTGAGACTGTGAATGTCTAGCCAGTCTTTGGAAAGCTTAGTAAAAAGCCCAAATATAGTCGTCTGATTACTCTGTGAGATTAAGAATTGCAGAAGAAAATAAGGATCTAGCTTACTGATTTAGAAGCGGGGGTGAAAAGGTGAAAATGAATTTTCATTTCAAACAGCAAGAGAAAAGTACCACATCAAGTCCACTCAGTCCTTTATTACCTTTTCTATTTCTATTGGGATGGATTTATACCACAATTACTCAATGTATTGAAAGGAATTGCCGCTCTAAACAATTACTTCTAAAAACAGACGCTAAAGTTCCATTATACAGGAGGACCATTTTCAGCTCTCTATATTGGGGGCATTCTGTGTAATGAGACCCAAGTCTCTTTTTTTCTTTTCAAGAAGGTTAAAGGTACTAAATAAATTCAGATATATTTTCTCCTGGTGCCATATTTATTTAATTTACTTGTAACTAAAGAACAATAAGAACAAGAGGGAAAAGAGATTTTGTCCAATTTTACCCCACCCCCTGATGTAGAATTAAATTTATACACCATCTAGGAAAATTGATTCCTTTTAAAAAATATCTGCTGCTCTGTTGAGACGGCGTCCTCTGTACCAAATCAATTTTCCTGCTTCAAGCTGATGTGCCCATTTAATTAACTAAGAAGCTTAATGTAGACAAACATGATTAAGATATAGTTTGAGAGAGCTTTCAAAAATGTCTGTTTATTATATATTATAATGTTTTATCAGAGATTTTCCTGTGGCAATTATGGCTTGTTTAGATTTTTTTTCCCTTTCCACTGGTATTCTATGTCTTGAAGGTGATTAGTGTAATAGTCTTGTATTTATCCAATAACTTTGGGATTCCTAACACAAATAATTTGTGCATGTGCTAAAAGATTGGAATCTTTTATGTGCTAGGATATGATATTTTATGACTTTCTTACCAGGTGACAACACTATGCAGCGAAGAGATGTGTTAGATGATGGCATACAGAGCACAGGGACAATTCTGGCCCTTTTTATGTTCCTGGTGTTTTATCATAGGATCAGGCACATCATAAGCATTTGTGAATGCTTTTTTTTTTAATATAAATTTATTTATTTTTAGTTTTCAATATTCACTTTCACAAGTTTTTGAGTTCCAAATTTCTCACCCCTCCCCCCACCCCAAGATGGCATGCATTCTGAATACCCCTTCCCCTGGTCTGCCTTCTCTTCTATCTCTCCCCCCTCCCTTCTCTTATCCCCTTCTATTTTCCTGTAGAGCAGGATAGACTTCTGTACCCCATTTCCTGTATTTCTTATTTCCCAGTTGCATGTGAAAACATTTTTTTTAAAACATGTGTTTTTAAAACTTTGAGTTCCAAATTTTCTCCCTTCCTCCCTCCCCACCCACCCTCATTGAAAAGGCAAGCAACTCAATATAGGTTGTACATGTGCAGTTATGCAAAACACTTCCTTAGTAGACATGTTGTGAAAAACTAACTCTATTTCCCTTAATCCTATCCTGCCCTCCCATTTATTCTATTCTTTCTTTTGACCCTGTCCCTCCTCAGAAGTATTTGCTTCTGATTACCCTCTTTCCCAATCTGCCCTCCTCTCTATCACCCCCCTGCTCTCTTGTCCCCTTCTCCCTCTATTTTCCTGTAGGGTAAGACAGATTTCCATACCCAACTGAATGTGTATGTTACGTGAATGCTTTTGTACAGTGGTACCTGGTGGTCCTATGTCAGGAGTCGTAATTAACCACTTAAACATTTTAAATTAATCATTTAAAGATGTCTTCTGCAGGGTAAGTCAATGATGTGATAGATTAGAAAATGTCCTGCCAGAGCAAAACAAAGTTCTCTCTAGTAGAGGAATGGGAGTCTAAAAAGAAGCTTGGGTACATTTGAGCTGATGTAATTACATGGTGTGGTCATATGGGATTCCATCTTTAGATGTAAGTTCTTTGTGGTTCTTTTTAGCATCCCTCTACTTGACAGAAAAACAAAGATGTGTACCACTTGTTTTCAGAACTATAACGATGACAGGGTGATTGGGACATTGCCTCAGGGCAGAAATTTAGAGGACACTTGAAGTCCATCAGCAGAACAGAAACAAATTGTCTTGAAGTCTAGTTATCAGGAATAACTTATTAAAATGGGAAGCTATCTGACGGTGTGTTCTCTACCCAGCAACAGCCTCAGTATTTTGGAGTCTCCACTACTATCTCTCATGAACTTCCTCTCCTTTCAAATGAATTAAAGGTGTGTTTGTACCACTTGCCAGTATATATTTTATGCTGCTATCTTATATACAAAAAATGATAGTTATGGCTCTACTTATCTGTCTGGAACTGTAGAGGCAAGTACATGTAGTTAAGGTACTAATGTTTATAGCAGCTCTCTTTGTGGTGGCGATGAACTGGAAATTGCAGGGATGCCCATCAATTGGGGAATTGCTGAACAAGTTGTGGTATATGATTGTGATGGAATATAAGAAATACATTTGTGCTATAAGAAATGAGCTCAATAATCTTGGGAAAACATGGAAAGACTTGTATGAGATATTGAACAGAGAAATGAGCCGAACTAAAAGAACATTGTATACAGTAGCAGCAATATTGTTTTAAGAATGACTTTGAATGAGTCAGTTATTTTGACCATTATAAATATCCAAATTAACTATAAAGAACATATAAAGAAAGACAGTATCTGCGTGCAGAGAAAGAAATATGTATATAAAAATTTTATATATATATTTGTGTCTAATGATGGCCATCTCTAGGGTGGGAGGGAAAGGGAGGAAGGAAAGAAAAATTTAAAAAAAAAGAAATTTACATGATAACTTTGTTGTTTATTTAGAAGGAATAGCAAGTTATACATAGTAGATTTGCAGTTTCCTGTGCAATCATCTTTTTATTATACTATGTTATAGAAATGCTTGTTTTATTCCATAAATTAAAAATGAAATAAATTTTAAAAAAGAAAAAGGGACTAAGTTAGTGACAGGATGAATGTCTGCACAAATGGCAACTTGCTATATCTGATCTTCTTGCACAAAGCCCTGCCCATCTTCTCTGAGAGCATGTCCAATCCAGAATTCTTGACTTCAACACTAGACTGTTCTGACACTGGATTTTCATACCAGTATACAAATGCCCCATGCGTTTTCTCTAAGAATACTTTGATAATTCAGAGTAAACAATATATCCAATAACCATCTGTAACTCGGGCATATCTAGGTATCCTTGGATTGTGAAACATGGAAGTATCATTGAATGGCCTTTACAGCATGTCTAGATTGCCTAACATGGTGACTTCTTAGTCCCCTACCACATGGATGGGGTAGCCTCCTTTGATTAGTTGCCTGTGTCTTTAAAACTAACAAGATTGAACCATTTTCTGTCTTTCCAATGCTCACTTATCAGCTATGTCTAGGAGGTAATGATCCTGGTTTACTCCCAGTGAGGACACTATGAACTGAACCAGTAACAGTGATTACTTCCTTTGCTCCTTCTCTTCTCTTGGGTTCTGAGAAATGGGTCTAGGGATATTTATTTCTGTACTGTGTTGTTTGTCCTCCTCAGTTTCAAGTGTAGAAGATGATCCTCATGGAACCCTGAAGCATGCTATTTTTCATTTTCTTTCATTTTCTTCTTTTATTTGAGTCTTCTTCTACAAAATGACTAATATGGAAATAATGATACATGATGACACATGTATAACCTACATCTGATTGCTTATTATCTTAGGGAGGAGAGAGGAGATGGAGGGGGAGGGAGGGAGGAGTAGAATTAGGAATGCAAAACTTAAAAAAAATCCAAATGTTAAAAAATTGTTTTAATGTGTATCTGGAGGTAAAATTTTATATATATATACATATATATATATATATATATATATATATATATATAAATGTATATGTATGTGTATATGTACATACACACACACACACACACACACACACACACACACACACACACACACAAAAGAACCCAGGAGTTGGAGTCATGGCAACCTTAGAGTTAGCATTCCAGGTGGGATGGTGCAGCCAACCAACTCAGCTTAGAATGCTCAAGAGAATTTTACACTTGGAAATGAGATTGTACTCTATATGAACCAAACGAAGCTATGAACCTCTTCTCTCTCTCCTCCTTAGAGACTGAAGTGGTGCTAAGGTAGGAGGGAAGGATTACTCCTTTGTTGGAGAAATTTGCATATTTATGATTATTCTTTTTAAAGTAAATATTTCCACATAAAAAAACTAATCTGTTAGTGGCTAAATGGAATTGGGGTACAGGGATCACTTTTACAGTTGGTGAAGCACTATTGGTGGGAGCCAGAACCATTTGCAGAGAGTCTAGATGCCCCAATCCCCTTAAGGGTAGCAGAGAACCCTTGGGGGAAATGGTAGAATTTAAGATATCTAGATATCAGGTAGCAGGGGCCACGATGGTATATGTATGCACACACACATACATATATGCATATATACACACATATACACACATATGCACATAATATATTATATTCACATACATACGTGTATATGTATGTATGTATATGTGTGTATGTGTGTATATATGTCACTTATGCTTTAATAGCTCTGTTTTGTTGATACCATATGACAAAGCACAATGGCAAAACAATATACAGATGAACACTTCAATGAACACTAACATAAAAATGGTCACAGGGACTGAGCCTGTAAATCTAGCCAATCTTTAGATATTCTAGGAAAAAGCCTAAATGTAGTCCTCTGATTACTCTCTGAGTTTAAGAATTTCCACCTTTCAGGTCATTTTTTGTCTTTGCATTCTCAATATCTAACAAAGTATCTCACATGGAGTAGGTATTTAATAAATGCTTATTGATTGATTGTTTTGTGGGAAGATACCTCGGGAAAGGGTCATAAGAAACTCAGGACCTTGGAGAAGGTAGAAGTCCAGGGGTGGAGAAGGGATCAAGGTGGCTGACTTTGGAGGAAAGGGCTGAAACACAGAAGGCATTTTCCTCTCTATCCTAGAATTTCACCCCAGGATGTCAGGGTGTAGGACACAATCCTACTCACCATATTTTAGTGGGCGCTCTGTATTCAAACATTATACTACTTTAGGAAATGGCTGTCTATATATACATATATATATATATATATATATATATATATATATATATATTCATAGCTTTGGAAAAGAAATGGCTCTCATGAAACTATTTTGAATCTTCATTCAATAACTTTAATTTTTTTTCTCTCAAAGTACTCCTGTCTGTCAGGGGTACAAGCTCTTTTGAAATAGACCTTACGTATGAAGAACCCTCTTACTGAGATATCTGACAAAAGTAATAGGTTGTAAAATGTTGCCAGGGTGACTGAGCCAAAAGCAAGTTGGTTAACTGACTAAACACTGTACCCAAATTAGCTTAAATACATCACACTGATAGTAATAACAGCTTACATTTCTTAGAAGTGCTTTATGACTGCAAAGTACTTTCTGTCAATTATGTGGTGAGGCAGAGAGTGCAAGTATTATTATCCCTATTTTATTTTATTTTTTATTACCCTATTTTAAATAAGAGGAAACAAAGTCTCAGGGTGACTTGCCGTATGCTACTTACTTAGCTAGTAAGCAAGGAGTGGAGCCCGGATTTAAGCAGACACTGGTGTCTTATTCTGACTTGGATGTTCTTTCTGTTATATTGTTTTGAGAAGGGGTTCTTAAAAACTCTTTTAAATGTAGAATGCAGGAGTGGGTAGGTGGCACAGTGGATAGAGCATGGGCCCTAAAGTCAGGAGGACCTGAGTTCAAATCTGGCCTCAGACCAAACTGACACCTACTAGTTGTGTAACCCTGGGCAAGTCATTTAACCCCAATTGCCTTAAAAAAAAAAGTAGAATGCAAAATTATTTGCTTAATTCTTATTCTCCCACAGTATTTATTGAACAACAACTTCTGGCTCTTCTAGCTGAATGCACAAAAAACTTTCATTAAGGGATTATTAAATCAGGCATTGTCTGAAGCCCTGGGTAAAATAAACAGAAGACACCGCCTTCTTACTATAAAGCAAGTAGGGTAGATGATACATATTTTGGTCGAGGAAATAACCAGGACATGAGTGGAAAAATCAGATTGTCAATTTCCTTATAAGGAATAGTTTTGTAGATTTGATTACATTGGAGCACCAAGTGAAAAGTGTGTGTGTGTGTGTGTGTGTGTGTGTGTGTGTGTGTGAGACAGAGAGAGAGACACACATACAAAGACAGACACACACTGAAAGAGAGAGACAGAGACAGAGAGAAATACACAGAGACAGAGGGAGAGAGACAGAGAGACAGAGTTAGAGAGAGAGAGAGAGAGAGAGAGAGAGAGAGAGAGAGAGAGAGAGAGAGTGTTTGAGTAGGACAAGGAAGGTTTGTCAATCACATGTGGGAGATCTGAACATGGCCAGCATGAAAGATCATGGTCAGATGTGGGGCTAGATAAATATGGTAAGGAAATAGCAATGCTTCATTTCATAATCTCTTATAATTTTATGATTATATAACTTTGGATTTGACGTTGTTGTCCAAGCATTCTTTTCCTTTGACTTCAAATATACTATATTCCCCTACTTGACCTCCCATCTCTCCAATCATTCTTTCTCTGGCTTTTCCTTTTCCTAGCTAAAGTCTTGGCCTTAGCCTCCTGTTTTGTCTCTGTATTTTCTACCCTATCAAACTCCTGAAATCAGCAAATTTTAGAAATCAGAGCTGATTTATTGTTGATTGTCCAGACTTAAGAAAGTGTTGGAGAAAATGTTAATAAAAAGCAAATTAAACTTTAAAGAGTGTCATGCATACAATTTCCCCCCCAAAGAACATATTGTTAAAATTTTGCCATCACATCTCTGCATCTATTTTCTCCTCTTTTCCCCTGTGCCTCTGTGTTTTGGCTCAGCTTGACTTAGGCCAATTCCTTGCTAGTTTAGATTTGATATTGGAACAAAAAGAGATACTCATTGATCATTCAACAGTTAAGAATAGGAGACTTACTTAGCCATAGAAGTTGAAATGTAATCAACAGGGTGGTTTTGAGATGAGAATAGGAAAAAAAAAAAGGATATCACAACAATCCAGGGGGGAAAAAAAAAGGATATCACAACAATCCAGGTGATTGGTTAGTTAAGGTATGGTAGGAGCAATATCCTAATCCCTACCCTGATGCAAGTTAGTTTAGTTTTTGAGAACCCCTTGAGTTGATTAATCTTAGTAAAGCTCTCATCACAATCCACTAGTCAAGCATTGGAGAGCCGCCCCCCCCCCAACTCCTTGCAGCTGTTTCGCACTCCAGCAATGAAAAATTGATACCAATCAAGTCTCAAGGAATGTCTCAATAACCTCTAAGGAAAAAAAAATACTAGTGTAATCAGCGCATGGTGAGGAAGGATATTTGTTCCTAATATACCCTAACTACCACCCATCTGGAATATTGCTAGATCCTTCTAACAAATCCTTCCTCTTTCTTTCCCCCTACTTCAAAACTACCTTTCATACCACTCTCAAGCAATTCTTCCATATACATATATATATATATATATATATATATAAATGTATGTATGTATGTATTAGTCATGTCATGCCTCTGCTCAGAAATCTTCAGTAACTCCCTATTGCTGACCCATCAAAGTTCACACTTTACTACTTGACATTTCAAGGTCCTCCATCATCTGACATTTCCCTTTTTCTAAACTGTTTTCATACTAGAGTTATGCCATACTTCCTCTTACCAGACAGGCAACCACCTGTTCTATCCCCCATTAAAATCAATTCTGTACTTAATAAATTCTTCTCCACACTTTTGCATGAATTTAACAAAAAGCTCTTAGGTCCCACGGTGCCTGCTCAACAGCTGTCCACATCAAGATCTAAAGGGCCCAACTGAAGAGGAGCGTTGACTTATTTTGCTTGATTTACTCAAGTTATCGTAGTCATAAAAACCTGGCCTGAAGGTGGATGTCCTCTTCCAGAGAGTCAAAAGATGGATAGTAGAAAGGAAAAGTTGAAAAAGGAAAAAAAAACCTGACACATTGAATGTTCAGAACCATGGAATAACAGGGCTGGCCCTAGGCAAAACAGTGGAGCATTTGAAGTATGTCTTCTGCACCTTCCTGCTCCTTTCAGATCCCAATTAGCCCCTTTTCCCTAGGTGCCACAGCACCCTTCCTGAGCCAAGGATGAACTTCTTGCTGTCATGTCCTCACACACTATCTAGTGCTGGTCACTGTGCCTAACTAAATTTAAAGGTATGTGGCTTGGAAGTCACCTTTTATGAGTACACAGGGTTAACAAGTTATTTTGATTCACCAATCCTTTCTCTTAAGAGAATACAAATATAATTCGAAGAAGAATTTACTAAGTATCTACTATATGCAGAGCATTGTGCTAAGGACTGGGGGAGATTACAAAATTCAAATGAGATGAAAATCCTGTCCTCACCCAAATTATAGTCGTTTTTAATAAGCATATTTCCACATGAGTCATGTTGTGAAAGAAGAAATAGAACAAAAGGGAAACACACATACACACACATACACACACACACACACTCACACACACACACACACACACAAGTAAACATAATATGCTTTGATCTGCATTTAGACTCCACTTCTTTCTCTGCACGTGTATTGCATTTCCCATCTCGAGTCCTTTGTGATTGTCTCGGATCACTGTATTGCTGAGAAGAGCTAAATCTAGGGTAGTTGATCATCACACAGTGTTGCTGTGCATTAGTTCACCTAAGTCTTTCCAGGTTTTTCTGAAATTAGCCTGCCTACTCATCATTTTCTTAGAGTGCAATAGTACTCTATTACATTCAAGTAATATAACTTGTTCAACCCTTCGGCAATTGATGGGCATCCCTTCTGTTTCCAATTTTTTGTTACCTCAAAAAAAGCTGCTATAAATATTTTTGTACATGTAGATCCTTTTCACTTTTTTATGATCTCTTTAGTAGTGATATTGCTGGATCAAAGAGTATGCGTACTTTGATTGCCCTTTGGGCTGTCCAGAGCGGTTGGATCAGTCCACAGCTCCACCAACAATGCATTTATGTCCCAATTTTCCCATATCTTCTCCAACATTTATCATTTTCCTTTTCCATCATATTAGCCACAGATTATAGTCTAATAAAGAGCTAAGACTTGGAGAGAAGGAGGAGAAAACACTTAGAGACAAAGAAGACCTCCTTTCCTTCCCAGGAACAAAGTGAATTTAAATAGTGGCCTCCTGGACACAATAACTCCATCATTGTCAGCCTCAGAGGAGCAACTCTGGTAATGAGACTTTGAAATGCAGAAGGGAAGGGAGAAAACAAACATACTTATCCAGTGGAGTAGATATCCCAGGGCAGGAAAATCTTTCAACAGTCCTCAAGCCACAGAGAGTAAGGGTACTAATGTGGAGGTGACAGGATAGGCAATCATATATTTGCCATTCAAAGTAGATCTTATGTTTAAGCAAATTGAAACAGCTCTTTAACTATTTTTCAGTCAAGTCACTTAAAAAATTAGAAATTATTTTTTCGTGTGGATGTCAGAGCACCAGTTAAACTGCATGACAAAAGCAGGGCATTTTTCTTGATTTAAAGTATTCTTTAATATTAGTTTCAAGGAAGCATAATAATAAAGTGATATTCTAACAGTTGGGTTTCGCTTTAAAAGGATTTTTTTTAAATGGTGGTAATTTTGCACTTGTTTACAACTGTCTAATCATGTGCTCATAGAGGAGAAAGACCAACAATTGAGTTCATAATCCTATTCCCATATTGCTTCTCTATTTGTGGTAGCTTAAAAATGAACATAGTCTTGTTCTTAGAGAGAGCCTGGAATCCAACCAAAATACTGGTCATAACTACACTACCAAGAAAACAAAAGAAAAGTGTGAAGGGTATTGGGAGAATCATGAGTGATTGTCTCTTTCTCATCTTTCATGCTACAAATGAAGAAGCATTTGAAGAGTTTTGTCTCTTGAAAATGATGAGGCAGAAGACGATGATGGAAAAATCCACCTTCTAAAGGACTAATATTCTTCTTTTTTTTTTTTTTGCAAGGCAATTGGGGTTCAGTGACTTGCCCAGGTTCACACAGCTACTAAGTGTCAAATGTCTGGTTTGAGGCTGGATTTAGACTTAGGTCCTTCTGATGCCACTCTATCCACTGCGCTACCTAGCAGCCCCAGGACCAACATGTTCTGTTCACTTATATATGTCTATACATACATTACACGTATAAATTTTTAGTACGTGTCACAATGCTTTGAAAAAGGCTAGCAAAATTGCAGTGTTGGGCCCCCATCACCTTAGATAAAGATGTAAGGCTGTGACTGTTTGTGGGGAAAGAAAAAATGGTTGATAAAATTCATCTGTGCACTTTACTGATGTGGGTCTTAATAATTAATATGGATCACTATATGGTGACTAAAACTGCAGGGATTGATATTAAGGAATTTAAATTAGAAAGAGCCTGAGAGATCCTCTAATCCAGCTCCCTTATTTTACAGTTGAAACTGAAACTCAGAAAGAAGAAATGAATTAATGAAAAAGTATTCATTAAGGTCCTGGGGATACACACAGAGAAAGGGATGTTCTCAAGGAGCTCACACTCTAATTGCAGGAGACAACACATAAAAGACAGTTCAGTTGCAGGGCAGATGGTAAGGCCAAGAAGTCTTAAGAACACAGTAGTGGGGCAGATGGCAAGGCCCAAGGGTCCTTAGGTTATATCAGCAGGTCAAATGATAGTACCAAAGGCAGATGGTAAGGCCTGGTAGCTCTGTCTTATCTAAACTGTGTGAGCAGCTGAAGCTTCCTGGATGGGTTGTGAGCAGCTAAAGACCAGGAGAAGAGACAAGGGAGAAAATGCAAGGCACAGAGGTATATCTGCACATACTTATGAAGTATATACATATTTGTATATATTTGTTATTATTCAGTTGTTTCAATTGTGTCTGACTGTTCATGACCTCATTTGTTACTGTTTTTTGGCAAAGATACTGGAGTGGTTTGCCATTTCCTTCTCTATCTCATTTTACAGATGAGGAAATTGAGGCAAACAGGGTTAAGTGACTTGCCCAAGGTCACACAGCTAGTAAGTGTCTGGAGCCAGATTTGAACTCAGAAAGATAAGTCTTCCTGAGTTTAGACCCAACACTCTCTCCACTGTATCATTAGCTGCCCCATTAGTATATATAGGTTTTCCCAAAAAGTCTTAGTGCCATTTTAAGCATTAATAATTAGAAGTATAAATACTACAAACTTGCAAAAAATTTTGAAAGATTAATTGTGTAATTTCTTTCATAAATTTATTTTTGTGAATTTTTAATAGCATTTTTAATTTCATTTTTTCAGGATCTCGGATTGAAAATGAGATTCTTTCAGGCACTGAGGAGCAACTGGTAAAAGTTTCTACAAAATTCAAAAATCAACTATAGTGATGTACAGCACAACATAGTGGTTATGTTGAATTTTAATAAGAAAAATTAGTATTTTAAATATTTAAATGATTAATCTTTCAGATGATTTTATGACCTTGCATCAATACTTCTCAAGTTACTAAAGCTTCAGATTGCACTAAGACTTTTAAGACAACTTGAATGTATACATATATTGTTGTTGTTGATGCATATACATGCTTGTTGTTGTTCATCCTTCATTCTAAAAGAAGACCAATGAATGACATTATGAAGCTTATGTCCTGACTTGTGAGTGAATTGGACTTAAGGGAAGCAGAGCTGTGCAAAGTCATCAGCCTCTTTCTCTCCTCCAGAGTCACTGGAGCCCAGTGGCAAGATGAGAGTCAAAATGACTAGCAATGGCCCAGATATATACACATATATATAAACGTATATATCTATTATATATGCATAATATAACAATGCAATATATTAAGTATGTAATATAATAATACAATATCTTACATATATAATACATGTATACACACAGAGAGAGGGAATGGGAGATGGTGGGAGGGAGAGAGACAGAAACATAGAGAGAGTGAAAGAGACAGAGACACAGAGAGAGAGCACAGACCTCTGATGTCCCAGTAGAAAACTCTGCTGATGGTGTGAGTTTTACTTGTCTGTGAGTTGTAGATCTAGAGGCTTGTCTGGAGCACTAAAATGTTAGATGACTTGCCCATAGTTACACAGCTAGCCTGGGTCAGAGTCAGGACTTGAACCCAGGTCTTTATAATTCTAAGACTATCCCTCTATCCACAATGACACAAACACTGTATCTCCTTGAATCAAAAGAGTAATAACAATACCTCACATTTGTATAAAGTTTTATGGTTTACAAATGCACTTTACTCCTATAATTTTAGGGATCTATTTTAACATGACCAATTTTATTATAACATATCCTGTCCATTTTACTGAGGTTTCGGGAGGTTAACTGACTTGTTAGTAAGCATCAAGGCCATGAAGTGAACCTAGGTCTTTTCAGTATTTTTTCCCCCATTGTACCATGCTGCCTCTAGGGTGATTATTAGAACTTTCATATTATTCCCCAGTTGGATTTGCTTATGAATTAGAATAATCATTAAAGCAGAAGCCCTCCCAACCTTTTTTTTTTTAAGATCAGGTAATCTCACATACATTTTCCATCATCATTTTGTAAAGCTCATAGCACCCAAAGTTTGTAAAAACTCAGAGCACTCTTTCTTTCTAGAAATCTTTCCTTATTGTAGTTAATTTGAACAACCCAATATTCTAGAAGGCCTCAAGCTAAATACTCTTGATTCCCTGCCCCCAACAGTACAGTCTAAAGTTAAGAGGCAATTTCAAGCTTGCTGATTAGTTCCATTCAGTATTTTTTATTCACAGAATTCAGGCAATAAAAAAAGATAAATCATTTTGCCCTCAATGAGTCTTTGAGACTAGAACAAATAGTTTAAATTGCTTTATTTAAATAGCAGGCAGATTTGACACATACAGGACTTTTTTTGTGGGGGAGGGAACAATACAACTGAGGAGAAACTAGAATAAAATTTGTTAATTTTTACACAATTACAAAAATGGGCTAGATACCTGAGCTGGTTTAGGATGGAAGAAAGCCTTCTCCAATCCCTCTTAATTCCAGTGCCTTCCCTCTGTTAATTATTTCCAGTTTATCTTGTATGTAGTTTACTTCATATGTATTTGGTTCAGTTGTTGTCTTCCCCATTGGATTGGTAACTCCCTGAGGGCAGAGACTGCCTTTTCACTCTTTATATTCCCACTGGTTAGCACTGTGCCTAGCACTTGGTGAAGCTACAGAGTGCCAGGCCTTTTTCTGAGTTCAATTCTGGCCTCAGATATATACTAGCTATGTGACCCTGGGAGGCAGCTAGGTGGGTCAGTGGATAGAGCATTGGGCCTGGAGTCAGGAAGACCTGGTTCAAATCTGACCTCACACACTACTTCTGTGATCCTGGGCAAGTCACTTAACCCTGTTTACTCCCTCAGTTTCCTCATCTATAAAGAGAAGGAAATGGCAAACCACTCTAGTATCTTTGCCAAGAAAATCCCAAATGGGGTTACAAAAAGCCAGACACAACTGAAAAATGACTCATCAAAAACAGTAAAAGTTTATTGATTGATTAATTGAGGGAGAAACTAGATGATATCTTGAGGTTACTTCAAAGTATTACATTAGATAATTAACTGGCTTAATAAGAGAAACTTCAAATGTTCTGGAAACTTTACAGGACTGAATATTTCTTACATCAACTGTGAGGCAAGCAAATAACAGTAATATAGGCATAGCAGTAAAACCTTGATTCTTGCAGAGTCAGCACTTAAACATTTATTGAATGAATGAACAAATTTTAGAGTTAAAAAATAATTTTATTAAAATATTTTGGTTTTTTCTGATTTTGGCTCAGACCTATGGGTTCATGAATGTAGGGACCTCCCAGTAGGGAGACTCCCTCCACTGAGGCATATCAAAAACTCATTTGAAACCTAGGAGAGGGCAGCTAGGTGGCACAGTGGATAAAGCACCAGCCCTGGATTCAGGAGGACCTGAGTTCAAATCTGGCCTCAGACACATAACACTTACTAGCTGGGTGACTCTGGGCAAGTCACTTAACCCCATTGCCTAGCAAAAAAAAGAAAAAAAAGGGAAGGAAGGAAACTTAGGAGACTTGTAAGGAGTTGTCTAAGATGCTGAGAGGTTGATGTGTCAGCTCTTTTTTGACTCCAAAGTTAGTCTCCTATTATGTAAGCCTGCTAAAAAATTAAATTTAGTCTCCTATCTATTATGTAAGCCTGCTAAAAAATTAAATCACAAGAATCAGTTTTGCTGGGTCCTCAACATAAACTTCTAACTTAAGGCCACACCAGGAAAATAATTTCAATGCCAGCGATTTCCATTTGTCTTAGAACAGTTGAAGGTAACCAAAACTAACAAAATTGTCAAGTAAGATCTATATTTACTATTCTTAGTCTTTCCCTTCACTCCACTATAGATTCTCCAGTGCCCTCCTTCTTTTCAACCTCTTCTCCACCCCATATCCCTACCTCCTGCAAAACAGGGAAGGGCCACCAATTGTACTTGTCGGAAGGGTGCATGAACATCTTGCTCCCTGGAGAATGAGTACAGAGTTATCCAAGTTAGGGTGGCTGTGGTTTACTGTGGGGAACTGATGAGGATATAGGAGCTTGTGCCCCATCACCATCAGTGGGAACAGAAATTGATCCCATCCTATCACATTCCCTCTAGTCCTGGCTCTTTCACTGATCTAAATTCTTCCCTTCCTTTTATTATTTAAGTATAGGTCATTTCTCCTTACCTCTATCTCTTAATCTTAACTTCTCTCAAAATTTTTCTTACAGCAGTCAAAGGGTTGAGTTGTCTGAGGTTCAGGGAGGTAGATCTGGGCAAGAACCAGTTTAGGTCCAAAGACAAAAGGTTGGAGAAGATACCTGGTGGCTTAGGGAAAGCTGTAAAAACTATTTTTCCTTTTCCTTTTCAATTTCTGCTTGGCAGGGAATGTGGCAACATTGCAGGGAATAGAAAAAGTCACAATCATTCAAGTCTGTGGCCACACAAATTACACCACCCTTCTAGTCACCCAGATTCCGTGGTCCAGCGCACTCAGTATTCCCTGCATTTCTCTGTGCATGTTTCCCGTTGCAAAAGGGAGATGAAGCCATTCTCGTGTCATTAATAACATGTGGAAAATCTATCTGTTTTCTGTCCAGATGACCCCAGATTTCTAATCTCCTAAAATAATTTTGGAGTATTCCACTAGTTATTTAACCTCTTTTCTTTAATTTACCTTTGACACCATGGAGCATTTGCTGAACCATTATAGAAATTAGAAGAAAAGAAGTAGTCCTAAACTATTCAATATGCATATAAAAAAGGCTCCAGTGACTGCCTTTCCCTTAAATTCAGTAATACACAAGGGAGTCTATTTTTCTTATAAGACAGTGAGTAGAAAGTTTAACAAAAAAAAAAAGGGGGGAAGGAAAAGAAAAGCCAAGCAAAGAAAATGTGATTAGCTGCTCAATGGACATGTAATGTATAGTGGTCCACATAGCACTATCTTGTCACATCATTACACCAGAATAGAAAAGCATCATGGCTGAATACAAATCATTGTATAATCTTACCTCAGCTTTTATGGGAAGCTCATTTCGTGATGGCATCTAATGATAAAGTACCATAATTCCCTTTAAGATCCAATGCATCAGCAGAGTAAAGGACAAGGCAGTCAGTATTCTTTCTCTCTATTTCTTAATCGAATCTCTAAAGAAACAGTAAGACTGATCATACTTGGTTGCTCCTTGAAATGTCTGTTGCCTGAAAAATTGCTTCTGACACGCTATTGGTGCATGCAACAGGGAAGTGATGAAGACTTATTTCTTCCAGTATTAGGAAGAACAGGTGCTCATTAGCAGGAGGACTTACCAGCCACCCAGTCCTGGCAGGTAGATCAGACAGAAGAGGATAGCTCATTCCTGTCTTTGAGTTCATCACTCAGACATTTTAGTCACATTGGACTTGTAGTCTCACATCATTTGACTGCCCTTGAAAAATACCCTAGTTTTTCAGGCGTGTGCTACACATTTTTAAAAGTGATCCTTCATGTGATGAAGTGTTCCATTAAAGAGCACATGGGTGCCCTCAATGTGGTAGTCCTCTGGAGCTGAGCTGAAGGTTGGAGACCAAACTTGGACCTCTTCTTACACCCTCTCCACTCCACAACCACCCCAAGCCTAATCCTTCCAATTGCTCAGATCAGGCAGACCCTGAAGCCTCTAGTACCTGTAAATTGTTTTCCTGATCCCTCATACCTCCAAGGGGAACAGTTCTACGTAAGGCTGTCGTATGAAAAACATAGGGCTCACTGAATCCAAAACCATCCTACGAGCTAACCCAGATAATTCAAATTCATATTCTTTGCCTT